CTTTCATTTTTACAGTTTACTCTGCATCAGCCATTTTTACACGCGAATCTATACCACTAGATGGCTTGTTACATCGCTGACTTCAAAAATCATTTAAAAATATAAAAACGCAAATTCAGCTGAATTGAAACCCTTGACGCTAATTTCTAAACGTTCCTTTCGACACTCAGAAAGCTTCAAAGAATTTAAAAGTAAGAAATTTAAATGATTCATTAAGAAAAATTTGTTCTCTCCCATAAGAAAAGCATTGTTTCCGACATTTCTGGTTTTCGCGGCAGTAATGCTGACGTCATGCGCAGAAGATTCTCATTTGGGTTTCGGGAATGACTGACCTATATGGATGGATCTTGCCTTCAGCCATCACTTTCGCGAGCGCAAGCTCGCGCGTGCATTTCGGCGACCTCAGAGTATCTACCTTGGAGCGTTATGGTCATCGCAATGACATCTTGGACGTCATCGCTCTTCCGGACGATACCGAGATATATACTCTGAGGGGCCCGCGGCGCACGGTGGATCGAAACCTGCAAAAAGTCGGACATGGGCGATTCTCACAAATAGTCATTTCATTGATGTAAAGGTCTTCCCAAAGAGTTATATTTTATGATACAGGTATTGGTTTTCAATTTTTTAACCCCAGTTTAACGCACACAGCCTCCTAAAGTGGCTCAGGCGGCACTCGAAAAATGTTGCCTCACTCGGGACAAACCGTCCGCCTGTTGGTATTTCCCTCCGATAGATTTATGACAATTTCTGACTAAAGTAGCTTGTCCTCCTCCTTAAGTAGAATATATTTCACTAATAACAAGTTAAAATATCGCTATTTTTATAAGCGATATTCTTGCTTAAAAGTACCCTCCTCAATACCGTAAAAATAATAATATAGCTAGACTTTTAACTAGCTATTTCAGCGTATTTCAGGGAAACCTTTTTATAGCAATGTTAACTGATCCCTGAAGATTCATTATCAAGAAAAATTGGCTGCCCCAAAGTGCCATTTTGGGAATAAAGCTTAAATGATTTTGAAAAAGTGAAGTTCATAAAATGGTGGCTCGAGAGAATTCGAATTTCACAGGTCTGTGGCGATTAAACACCGGGCATTTGATAAGTGATCTATATGTAATTTTTAGTGCTGAGTCCGAAAATGACCTTGGTTTTTCTCCAACACCCACCGATTTTCCGGAAAATTGAGATTTTCCACTTGAAATGGACTTTTCGAGAAATGTGATTTTCCGGAAAACTGGTGCATGGTAAAGAGAAACCAAGGTCATTTTCGAATCCAGGAGACAAAAATACATGAGAAAACATGCCTTGCGTGGTTAAAAAAATGTCCACGTTGTTTCAGATAACGGGGTTTTCCTCTCAAATGTCCTAATTGACGCATATGATACTGATCCGTTTGTTTTGCGTCTGAAAAGACGGGAAAATTATATCAAGTTGGTGTCAAATGGAGCATTTTTCATCTACTACTTGATGCTAAAGTCAAAAATGGCCTAAATTCTTTTCTATCTTCTAACTATTTCCCAAAAACTCGCGGTTTTTGACATCGGATTTTTTTTTTTTTTGTTTAATTTCTTCGGAAAATTAGAAGTTAATAGAGAAAATTGAGGTAATTTGAGCTTCAGCAGCAATCATTAAGCCGAAGAAGCTCCATTAGATACCTAAGTATAAATAAAGGCAGTGTACAATGGTGACTCGCGGGGCCCTTAATTAGGAAGGCTCGGATAATACATGATTTGTGTTGATTGATGTGTATTTGATTTGTATTTTTCTCTCATATTTTTCCCCCTTGTCATTTTCTTTTGTTAGAAAGCTAAAAAGGTGCCCCAGGAATGAAGGGGAAAGGATATCCTCTGTTTTCCTCTCAACATTTTCGGATTTTTATTAATTCATTTTTTGGGGGAGAGGAGGGGGAATGGTAAAAGAGATGAGTAATATACGTTTTATATACGATATTTAAACATTTTACCGGAGAGAAAAGTCCATTGAACGCTTAAAACTTCGATTGAAATGAGTGTAGAAAGTTTAAACTTATCTTTTGTTAAACAATATCTCTTTATTTATCTGAAATTGTGCCAAAATACATATCTAAACCCAATAATCAGAGAAATGGTCATCAAAAATGAAATCTGCGACGAAAAATACATAAGAATCATCTATCCTGATTTGTTTTATGACCGCAAACACTACGTAAATGAGCAAACCAAGTCGCGTGATGGGCCATGTCCGGCCTGCCCTATGACTCGATCCACCGTGCGGCGCGGGGTCGTATCTTCGAGGCAGCGATCTAGTGATAGCGCTCTTGTATTCTCCGAATATACTGTCCACTCTACCATTTGAGTTACGTGAGTTAGATTATTTTATCCCCCCATTACAGTACTAAATCATGGAGGGGGGGGGGCGAAAAAATAATGTATGCCAGCGTCTTATCGTTTATTAGCATTTAATTTATTTTTATTTCCCTTTTTTCGTTAGAAATAATAGTAATTTAACACTAATAATTGTCATTCTTTAGGTGGAAGGAGCTTTGGACCTTTCTGTATCCGTTATCAACTGAAGCGGGCCCCAGGGGAAAAGGTAGGGAGGGGTGGCACGCGAGTATACACTCCGCGCGCTTCGAAAATAGCGCGCCACGCCAACTTTGAACGGTCATAACTTTTGAACCATTCATTTCTCCAAGTTCAACGATAGCTCGTTTTAAAGCTTGAATCAAGGGCTTTCATTTGAATTGGTTTTGTAATGATTCATGCGTTCCCTTTTAGAGAAAACCCCCGAAAAACTGAATTTTTTGGGCTTGAAAAATCTAAAAATGATTTTTTTTTACGTTGAAAAATTGCCAAAAATAGACACTACTATATATCAAATGAAAGGTCTCGTCAAGAGCTTTCATTTGAATCCAAGATCAAGTTGATCCGATGATTTGTTCAAAAGTTATGGCGGTCGAAGCGTTTGACCTTTGACCCCCTGCCCCCTCCCCCTGGGGGGCCAGACGAGAAATTACACCGGATTTAGGCTTCTCCGATGATACGTTATGGTTCCTGAAAGTATAGATGGAAAAGCTCTCGCGGTCATTTCGTATGGAAAATGGGACAACCTCTTTGCCTATTTTAGCTCCGAAATAAATTTAAATCGACTTTTTTTTCCAGCAGCTGAAGAGAATCGTTTTCTTTTTATGGCATAAATGATTCTATAGACACTCTACTTCTAGAATCTGAGGAGTTTCTGCTTTTGACTCATCAAAAAATTTAAACTCGTTCAGGAAAACCGTGCGGGGATATTGTTACGGAAAATCGGACGACGTGGCCACTTTAAGGGGGAGAAAAAGGCGGATAAAATAGGAGAGGTAAATTGGGTTATTTTTCTTCTAATGTGCTCTAATAAGTGTGTTACCCCCAAAGCCAGAGCAACATTACAAATGGGGAAAATTCGCGAAAAGACGGGAAAACGCATCTCTGTGCGCAACTCTCGCAACTTTAGGCTCCTAGGGGTGCCCCAGATAACATCGAACGTTTCAGCAACGTGGAAATCAACGTAGACCTTGAAACATTCCGGGAACGTACCTATACAATTTCTACGTTGTAATCAACATGGAAGAACAGGGGTGCTCCGAAGACGTCTCACTGGCGATGTAACAGGAACGTGGAAAGGAACGTTGCTCTGTAAACCTAACCTAAAAAGTTAAAATCGCACTTTCGCCGTTTCGCTGTCTACGTTTCCGGAACGCAGAATCCAACGTAGTCCAAAACACGTTATACTAAAAAAGGCGGCACAGGCCAGGAGCGCCCACTAGGTGGCGCTGCATTTCGCGGCGCAGATTACTCAAAAAGTCTACAGCGCATGCGCAGCTCATGTCGGCACCAACCAAGTTCCTGGAATCAGTCTGATCAGAAAAGGTTGCAACTGTTCGAGAGTGTCCACCACTGTTATCTTGATATTGGCGTACCAAGTGATTTTCGCAGTTTAATGTTGTGCTTGAAGTGATGCTTATGCCTCCGTGTTTTACATACATAAAAGTTTGTTAATCATCTGGTTTGCACATACTTGTCTGTTTCTAATTCTGTATTCTCAAGTCAATGTCCACAATTTTAACCCGTAGACCTCATGTTCTACTCTAAAACTGAAAGTGCTCATTCCTCTTCTAGTAGGGGAGACCAGGGCACAGTGACCTGGGATTTTTCCTTTTGCTTTCTCTGCTCTTCCTGAAGAGGTTTCTGAAGATCTGCTATGAGGGGATGATAAGTGTATGTCAGTACCTTAAAACCCCTGGAAGTTTCAAAGATCTGCACCCATTAGAAAAATTGTGAAAAATCCAAGAAAGTTGAAAAAAATGTTGGCCACTGTACTCCAAGGCTGGGGCACAGTGCTCACGGGACTAGGGCACAGTGACCATTTCTCTCGTGAGTGGCCTTAGGAACCCTCTCTACCCATACAGGAAAGGAAGTTCGAACTTTCTTATCCTGGAAGGGAATTAGGATTCATCTCCTACTCAGAGGAGGGTATTAACGAAATCGGGGGGGGGGGGGGGGG